CTTATGAAGCCTTGTATGGCTTGGCACCAAGGTTCTTGCAGGACCTTTTATTCCAACCCATTAACCCATCTGAGGAAGTCCTCCTGGGGGATGCTGCTGTTGCACCCCATTTTCATGAGGTGAGGAGTGCTGAGCTAGAAAACATGTTTTGTTTTCCTGCAGTGGTACCTATTCTTTGGAACAGAATTTCCCTCTAGAAATTAGACTGATCCCTTTGGTGATGGTCTTATAGAAACCAGTGAAGGTTGAACTCTTTCAGAAGTCACATATGATGTGGCCCCTTATCATCATTTGTTCTTTTTTCCCCCTATTTTCTATTCTTCCTGGTATTTTTGCTATTTTTTTTAGTTATTTTGGGCTTTGGTGTTAGGAGGGTTATAGAGAAATGTTTTATTGTTTATTAATGTTCCCCTTTTTATCATAGAGGCTTTATTATATTTGTTTTTTGTTTCATTTTTGTATGATGTTTTTATTTTATTTTATTTTATTGTAAGCCACCAGAAGTTGGAATGATTTGGTGGCATACAAATTTAATAAAGAAAGAAAATAAATAGGATTATAATTTTAAAAAATCTTTTCTTGCTTGAAGGGTAAGAAAATCTGACACTGTAATTTGAAAAACATTGATAGAATCATGATTTAAAGAAAAATGTACATAAATAGCTGGTTGTTGCTTAGAAATTTAGGGGATCTTGAACTCTGTTGACTTTTCTTTTAAGGCTTGAAGTTACTACTTATAGATCATCACCTAGGGAGTATGCCGTTCAGATGGACTCTGATGAGGAAAGAGAGGCTCTGGTCATCAACCCAAATGAACATGTTGTAGTACGAAAGGTAAGCTCATATACTTTAAAGTTAAATCTAAGATGGTCTCCCTCTTTCATGTGAAAATAACTCACATCATATCCAAAAAAAGGCAGAGATTGTATGATGAAAATAATTACGTATTAGACTTTGTGCCTCTAGATTCCTCCTATAGTTCTCTGCTTTACATCAAGGACTGAAGTAATTTCAGTATTTCAGCAAAATTCTGGTTATAAGGTGTTCTGAAATGTCCCTTGACCTCTTAAAAGGGGTGAATAGTCATCTTTCAGCTGTTGCATTACTTGAACCACATTTTTTTTAAATTACATAATCACAGAAATGCTGTCCTTTGAAATGCCATTGAATGACTAAGATGTATGTGTTCAAGTACAATCCTCTCTGTAAATATGCAAATAACTTTGGAGTTAGACTAAGGCTGGAAGGCCCAGTCAGCCATGAAGTTCAGCGAGTGTTCTTGAGCCAGTAATTATCTCTACCTCCTAAAGCTATAATGATAATAAAAATAAAACAAGTGTAGTTCTTCTTAGAGCACTTCTAAGATCCTAACCAGGGTTCAGTCACTTCAGATGACATATGACACTTCACAGTTGAATGAACTCTTGCATTGTTTTGTTTTATTGGTTTTGCCCATTGACCAGATGAAAATTTTTGTGCAAGCTGTCCTGACAATCAGATCAACTATTGCAGTATCAAAAGTATTTACCTGCATATGAAAGTTTTTGCGTCTCAACTGTTAACTAAGTCTGTACCTTCATTTTTGATGATCCAATAAAGAGTTCCCAGTGCATACTTTTAAGCAAGCTGTAATCTTTGTTTTTGCACAGGTAAAAGGAGGAGCCCTTTCTTTTAGGAGATGGATTCGGGGACGAAGTCTTTTCTGCTCCAAGTTACTGACCTCAAGAGCAAAATCTCGCTATCTTTTTCTTGGTTATTTGGTGATGCTGCATCTTCTAGTTGTCTTATGTCTGACAGGCATCTTATAAGTGCACTGAATTTGCTGTGTGAATTATTTTCTTCTAAATAACGTGTGCCAATTTGAAATAATGGACCTCTCAAAAGCTACTGTTAAGCTATGCACTGGATACAGTTCTATATATTTTCAGCATAAGGTATGGGTTTCAACTTCTTCGTTAACGAGAAGTTTTGTACATCACAGTTGTTCCAAAGTTGATTTGAGTAGTTCTGTAACAATGGAATATTATATTTGCTAAGAAAAAACATTATATTAAAACACACTACTAGAAGCTGCTGCAGTTGGGACATTTAATATACTTGGGGAATATGTAATAGCTGAACACTGTTGAATGAGTTGTAAATGCTATCTTTTCTATATAAATTTATTTTAACAGAGTTGAACTATACATTTGGGGAAAACTATTCTCAACTATTGGGTTTCTTTGCTTCTTGATTATAACAAGGAGCTCACAGAGTGCAATATAGGGAAGGGAAGCTGGAATCATTATGAGTTTCTCAACTTTAAATAAAAACTTAAGAATTGAACTTGTCTGTGATATATTGAATGCTTACCATAGTCTGTGTATAAGGAGATTGGCAGTAACTAAACCTTTTTTTCCCCCAATGACAAAAATAGAGAAGAGGGACAGTTTTTGAAAGTGTTTAAATTTCTTGTTCTGAGTTTTGGGGATCAGATCCAAGACAACAGCTAACTTGATTTTATTTATTGTTGATTGATGAGAGTAATGGTCAGTTTATTTATTTATTTATTTATTTATTTATTTA